AATGAATGAAAATGACTATAAAACAAATGAGAGTTATTGGTGATTAATGAATGAAACACAGGTTATAACCAGGTTATACTACAAACACGTAATTATTGTTTTTTGAGTCAATGTTTTTATGAATTTCGGAGGAAGGACATTTATGCATGTGGAATATTTTGCACGCTCGAGTCCCAGCCTGGTGTGCGTGCGCAAACTGATGTCAGTCTGATGGAAGTTGGAGAAAGAGCTCGGGGGAGGAGTTTAAATGGGGCTGCTGCGAGTGCAGGGAGGAGGAGTCTGCTCATTCAGCGGAGAGTCGAGCGCCTGTTGACAGAGGAGGGCTTGGAGTTTGGAAAAGAGCGCAGTGAACGTTTGCGGATCGCAGTTTATTTTGAAAGGAGCGCATCTTCTTGTGTACGTGCGGGAGAAACGTCGGTCTCTGATGCTGCCTTCAGATCATGAGAGAAGCGCTCACTATGAAGTTCGCCTGGAAAACTAAGATGGTAAAAATCCAAGCGCAGACTCGCAGTGTCTGTTGTTTGTGGTCGGGGGGGTTAGAGTGGAAAAGGGGGTGAGTGTTTGTAGGCTTGGGAAAGTAGCGGATAACTGAGTGAGGGGGAGAGGGCGGGGGTGGTGGTGACGGTTGTTTTTACTGCTGCGTAAAGATGTCGCGGTGAGCTCGAACCTGTACGTGGAGGAGTTCGGTTCAGTGGATAATGCTGAGAAATGTCCTCACCTGATGCTGTAGATCCAAACTTCTTCGTGGGTTTTTTCTGGGCTCCACAGCAAAAAGCAGAGGGGGAACAACAGGCGAGGCCCCGGGGCCATCACAGCCCGTGCAACTGGGTCCAGGCGAACAGATCAGCGCCACTCTCCTTATCTCCGTTATTCTTCCCAACCAGCTGATGGGCTGATGTGCAGATTAGAATTATTTGCAGAGAGAGAGTAATGTTTGTCGTCTGTGTGCAGATTTTTGAAGGATCCCAGGTTGTGCGGTGTAAAGAGCTCACCTCTTGCTCTCTGAGAACTCTGTTTTTTGGATGCTTGGATAACTTATTCACTTATGTTACTGGCTGCTTTCATTTGCATTTGCATTGGGAAAACAACAACAAAAAGCAAACTTGATACACAAAGAGAGTGTAGCTTTTTAAAAAAAAAAATCTGTCCAGCTTTCAGAAAGCAGTCTGTGTGTGCAGACTGTGAACTCAGCAGCCCGGCCAGCCAGCACAGGGACCTCCCGCTATTGTTTTGGGAGTGTGTGGACTGCATGACTCATACACTGATGTATTTATCTGTCTCTGTGCCAGCCAGCGGGCAGCAGCCAAAAAAAGAGAAAGGGAGAGAAACATGTTGCTGACCATAGGACAAGATGGAGAACAGCAGCATGGGACGGGCGTGCAGACATGTTTCAGATCCTCTGACTTGCAGTAACGCAGGCGTGTTGGCTGGTTTCATCTGTCAGAGTTGGTTAAAATCACGTCTTTTTGTTTTTGGCTTTCTTTGAATATCTGCCCCTCACGTGTTTCTGTTCGTATCCAAACACTGCCGAGTAATGGCTGAGCGCCACTGGTCTCCAGGACTGACCATTGAACTTGCTAATGGTGAGTTTGGCCCTTGATCTCTTTGCCGGCGGCCCGACTGTGTGGACTTTATGGGGACGAGTAATCTTGGCGTCCGTTGCCTTTGTGTGAGGACTTGGCTGAGATTTTGCCTGTGTGCTGTTTATAGGCACCCTATCCTTCGATGGCTGTCCGCTCCTTCTGTTTTCGTCTCCATGTGTTGGTGTCTGAGCCGGCCTCGGCCTCTGTTTGGATGCGATATCTGAGCAGCAGTTTGGGGTTTTGATTCCTCTCTGCTCCCTCTGTTTGTTTATGCACTCTGCTGCCGTCATTGATTTACAACCAGCAGCAGACGCAGCGCTTTCGACTCGGTGGATCCTTTTAGTCTCGGTGTGGTTGCGACACTGATTTGTAATCAAGCGCCGCCGACTTGTAGAAGCAGACAAACCGACAAACTCATATGTTCATAGAGGGGGGGGAAGCAATGTAAATATTACTGTGGAGGTGTTTATTCTGGACTTGGCCCATTCTGGCTCTTATCTACAACTTGGGTGAGCTCGGGTAAAGCTGTCCAGCTCTGACTTCAGCTCCAGAGACACCAAGACATCATGAAAGAGATGGATTGGGAATAAAAGAGGGAGTAGAGACAGAGAGGAGGAGGGAGGGAGGCCTGGCAGGCTGCAGGGATGGGGGGTTGGGGAGTTGGTCATTCTTGATGTTTTACTGCACTTCACTTCTTCTTCTTAGTTTTTTAAGCACTGGAGTTGTTTGTGTGTGCGTTTTTCCGTTCCCTCTGCTTTTCTCATACACAAAAATCACTTTCCTTTCTTGTTAAACTACTGAAGTTAGACTTGTGTTGGTCAGCTCTGCAGCGCGTCTGTCTCGATCTTTCTAATATTTCCACCGATATCTTCTTTCAGAGCTCAGTGCAGGACTGGGGGGAGGAAGTAGAGGACGGAGCAGTCTACAACGTGACGCTGAAGAGGGTCCAGATTCAGCAGGCGGCCAACAAGGGAGCGAGATGGCTGGGGGTGAGTAGGCCCTGACGAGGAGCTGAGCTCCAAACCTTCAAACGTTAAAAGTTCAGACTCCTTTCTGCACTCTCAGCTGCTGTAGAGGGAAAAAAGTGAATGTTTTTAAAGCAAACAATGTCCGGATTAGATTTTATCGTGTCCAGATGGCTTTTTTTGTTTAAAGCAGTCCAGTTATCTGTGTTCAGACTGCTGACCTTAAAAATGGCAAACCTAATCTGTATTGTCTTCTCTCGGGGCATTGTGCTCTACCGAGGCTCCTATTGTTTTAACGTTTGAGCTATAAATCTCCCAGTGGAGACAACACCTTTGAGCTGCCTGCTGAAAACGAACAGCTTCACCAGAGCTGGACCGTTTAGCCAAAGCATGTGATTTCCTGACTTTCCGAGCTGCCAACAAAGCCAGCACGTTCCCCTGTTTTGCAGAATGCTGGTGTGACACAGTTTCCCACAGTTGTGCATTTTTTCAGTGAATATAAGGCATTGCCGTTTCCCCCACAGAGCTGTTTATGTATCCGTAATAAGATGTTATGCAGTGCATCATTATACTGCACAGACGGGGCAATTAGGAGCATTGTTTCTCTTAGTTTCATAGTTTCTCTGGTGAGTTTTCCCAGAAAATGCTAAAGGATCTTCAGGATATTGTGTTTGTTAGCTTCTTTGGAACTGTGTGGCTGACATAAGGGATGAGAGCTGGCGCATAAAGAAGAATCTGATATCTGCTGCGAGCCTCCAACACTGCCTGGATGTATTGACAGTGGTGTAAGCCCAATTAGAGCTGATTAAAACAACATGGGTGTTTTGTGCAGAACAAAGAGCGAGCTCCCAATGAGATGAGTATATTTACTATAAACAGTCAGCTGTATGAGAACAAAAGCAGCTCCAGTCTGCACAGTTTGAGGCGTGTGTGTGTGTGTGTGTGTGTGTGTGTGTGTGTGCAGTTGTGCTCATTGTGGCGGTGCCGTGGATCGCCTCGGACAGATAAATAATCAGACTTTTTGTGTGCTCCGTGCTGTTATCGGAGGGGAGAAGTCGACTGTGCCGCCATCCTCCTCTCTGTCTGGAGGGATGGTGGAGGAGGGGCTTCGCTGTGATTAAAAGCAGATTGGAGCGTTTCCTGTTGTAGCGTGCTAACTTCACCAAGGTCTCTCTCTCTCTCTGGGTCTTGTGCCACCCCTTACTCTCTCTTCTCTCTCTCTCTCCCCTGCTGTTTTGCAACCACCCGTTCTGTTTTCCCTGTAGACACAATAGTCGGACACATCTGGAGAAATCCAAATTAAATATAGGTCACCGTACTGTTTCCTTCATCCCCCTGATGTTTCGAGCCCTCGTTGTTTGTTTCCATTTCTTTCAGAGTTCCTCTCGACCCTTTACTTAAATGTATTGGTGAAAGCATTACAAGCACCAGCCAACTGCAGAAATGCAACAGTTTAAAAATGTATAAGGCAGATGGGTGACAAGTTAAAGAAACATTTGTGGATTTGTTATGAATCACTGTGTCCCTGCGGTAGACTTACCCACGGCTGTAGAATAGGTTTCTGGTGGTTTTTGCTTAAATTTGTCATAATTCGCATGTTTCTTGTTTAGGCGGAAGGGGATCGCCTGCCTCCCGGCCACACGGTGAGCCAGCTGGAGACCTGCAAAATCCGAAGTATCCGTGCTGGAACGCTGGAGCGACTGGTGGAGACTTTGCTCACGGCGTTCGGAGACAACGACCTCACCTACACGTCCATCTTCCTCTCCACCTACAGAGCCTTCGCGTGCACGCAAACCGTACTGCAGCAGCTGCTCGACAAGTAGGCTGAAATGACACGATCCTGAAACTGAAAAATAATACTCTGCCTGTTTGTTGTGGCGATTTTTAAAACGCGTCGTCTTCTTATTTTCTGTGACAGATATGGAAGCATGGAAGAAAACGAGCAAGGCGCTGACAGATGCCACGGCTCTGAAACCACCGGCGCCATCAGAAAGTGAGCTGCAGTGTGACGTGCGCATCAGTGTTCCCGCTCACCTGGATTTCCACCTCTCTAAAAGGTTTCCCGGCTCTCTCCACAGCACCTTGGCTTCGATCCTGCGTGCCTGGCTCGATCAGTGTCCCGAAGACTTCCAGGAGCCTCCAGACTACCCCTGTCTCCACAGGGTGATGGACTACCTGCGCAAGGTTCTGCCAGGCTCAGAGGCTCTCAGAAAGGCAGAGGGTCTGCTGGAACAGCTGCAGGCTCAGGCCGGCATGGATGACACTGATGGTACCGCTATTTTCTTGGGTGGGGTGGAGTTCATATTATGAGTATTGCCTCTCTGTGATATCATGCAGATGATGCTGACGTCAGTATTGTAAACTTTGACCATATTTAACGAGGATTCAGTGTTTACGCTGAGAACGGCTCACATCACTGCCTCCTGTATTCATGGGAAAAAGCATAGCAGGTCTCCTTTAAAATGTCTTCCTCCGTCGCTGAGAAACGATGCGTTATCTCAGATGTGTCGTTTATTTCCTGTGTTTGTTTTGTTTGTTTTCAGCTGGTTTCCACAGCAACCATTCATATAGCCTGGGGGAAGAGGATGAAGCGGAGATTGAGGTCCAGGAGGACTTCCTGTCGTTTGACGCCGACCTGGTGGCCGAGCAGCTGACCTACATGGATGCGGTAAGTGGAGGGAAATGATGTGGAAACAGGAGGGAAAGGTTACATCCCGTTTCTTCTGCGTCGCCTCACTAACATCGTACTCTTTGGGGGGGGCTTTTCTTGGTGGTGCTTTAGGTGCTGTTCAAAAAGGTCGTACCCCATCATTGTCTGGGCTCTGTCTGGTCTCAGAGGGACAAGAAGGACAACAAGCACAGCGCTCCCACCATCCGTGCCACCATTACGCAGTTCAATGCTGTCGCGGCCTGCGTGGTCAACACAGTGCTGAAGCACAGACAGCTCAGGCCTCACGTCAGAGCACGGGTCATCCAGCGCTGGATAGACATCGCGCAGGTCGGCCGAAGAGACAGACTCGCTCACGAACGTTTGGAATCAGTTAGAATGTCATCTGACTTGTGGTCGTCTTTTAACAGGAGTGCAGAATACGGAAGAACTTCTCATCTCTGCGAGCCATTGTGTCGGCACTTCAGTCCAACCCTCTGTACAGACTGAAGAGAGTGTGGGCCTGCGTGCACAAGTAAGCCTCCGAACTCTCGTCTCTGCAGATGATCTCAGCTGGTTTTGATAGTAACGAGATCGCGCAGATCCTTCGGTGTGTTTTGCACGCGTGTTTTCCTGCCATGTCACATCACGTTAGCTGACGCGAATCTGCGCTTGTTGCAGAGACAGCGTGCAGACATTCGAGGAGCTCTCCGACATTTTCTCGGACCATAACAACTACCTGACCAGCAGAGAGCTACTGATGAGGGTGAGTGTGTTCATTTCATATCTGATCCAGTTTAGGAATGCTTAGTAACCATCTGTTACTCGAAATCCCAAAATTGCTTGTTCGCCGCATGGTTGGAACCAGAATTGGAGCCATTTTTTTTGTTTGCCCCACAGGAAGGCACGTCAAAGTTTGCCAGTCTCGAGAGCTGTGCCAAAGAGCACCAGAAACGCACCCACAAGAGGCTCCAGCTGCAGAAGGAAATGGTAAGACAAATGCCGGCTGACAACGAGCTTTAGAAACAAACGACAAACAAAGCGGTGTACTCTACACTGACTGCTAGCCTGTGCAGATCGTGAAGCCACACAGCTCTGCTTACTCCACGTGCCACGCTCCCATTGTTATTATCATCGCCATCTGCAGAGAACAAAGTGTAAATAAAGATGTGACTTTACTGCAACATCCCACGGAATAATCGAACCGTTCCTCCACAGGGAGCGATGCAGGGAACGATACCGTACCTGGGGACTTTCCTCACCGACCTGACCATGCTGGATACGGCCCTGCCTGACCTAGTGGAGGTAAGAGCACCTGCTGATCGTGTGTGCGAGTGTTTGAACATTTGAAAGTCTATCTGTCAGAAATGGGCCTAAGTTTCCATAAGTGCGTGAGGAATTTTGTCGGTGCGTTTGTGGAGCTGTCCGCCGAACGCTGTTTGCGTAAGCGGTCGCTGGCGCGTGATGTCTCGGCTCTGACGGCGTGCTCTTTGTGTCTTCTGCAGGGTGGTCTGATCAACTTCGAGAAGAGACGCAGGGTGAGTCTTTAGTCTGCCTCCTTTGACGTGATTACAGTTACTCACGTGGTGTTTACTCTGAGCAACCTTCTTTGTGCCTCTGCAGGAGTTTGAGGTGATCGCTCAGATCAAGCTGCTCCAGTCGGCCTGTAACAGCTACTGTCTGACTGCAGACCCAGCTTTCCTGCGCTGGTTTAAGGGCCAGCCTCAGCTCAGCGAGGAGGAAAGGTACACTCTACTCTGAATACCTTTTTTATTTTCATTGCACCGTTATCCATGTGATAATAAGCAAATTAGTGCATGAGTCATGGTCTGCTGGATCCATTGTTCCCCCACAAATACACCAGAGCAGCTTTGTTCTGTCTTTTCTTATCGTCTCTCCCTGCTGATTTTGTCATTTCTTTAGTTCCTACTGATCTGTTCTACATGTTGTTTTGCTCTCTGAGCGCTTTTTTTTGTCTCACTGCTATTCTTGAAACCACCATCCGCTTGAAGGTTCACTGTTAATACTCTTTCTTGCAGCTATGCCTTGTCTTGTGAGATTGAAGGTCTCGGTGACAGCAGTCCGACTTTAACCAAACCTCGGAAAAGCATGGTGAAGAGGCTCAGCTTGTAAGTGCATTAAGAAAGGAGACATTTTTCGAAGCTAATAAAGACGAGTGCTGTTTTTAAATTTGAAGTGAAGTCCAGAGTAGAATGAGGAAATGAAACTGCAGGGACTTTTTAATGTTTTATCATCTAACAGCTCGCTTCATTTTCTGTTTAGGCTTTTTCTTGGAACAGACAGTAATTCGGCCAGTTCTCCAGTCAGAGAGACGCCACGCTCGCCCCCTACTGGCAGCTCCGGAGAGAGCATGGATTCGGTCAGCGTGTCCTCCAGTGACTCCGGCAGTCCGTCGGACAGCGAGGGACTCGCCACCCCGACTCACACCTCCGACTCCCAGCAAAACAAGGTAGGTGACAAAGCCACCGGCAGGAAGTGCTGTGCACTAAAAAAAGTACACAACTTTATTAAATACGAGTCAATTCCATTTAAATTTTTTTATTGGATTAACATTTTTACACATATAAAGTTGCACATGAGAATTAACAAATGTTCTAATTTTTGAGCATTCACTGGCCACTTCATTAAGTATGCATTTTCCTTCAGAACTGGTGCAGTTCTTCATGGCACAGATTCAACACGGTGCTGGAAACATTATTCAGATTTTGTTCCGCGTTGATATGAATGCGCGGTTCATCACACAGCTGCTGCATCCGTGACTCTCCCGTTCCCTCGCGCCCTAATTCTGACCCTGTATGAACTGTAGCCTCAGTCTCCTGTTCTTAGCGGACAGGATTGGCGCAAGTGTGGTCTTCTGCTGCTGTAGCCCATCTGCTACAACAAGCACGGACCTATTGTGTATTCAGATATGCTCTTCCGCAGACCTTGGCTGTAATGATGGTTGTGTGGGAAAGTCCCAGCAGATCAGATATTTCTGAAATATTGAGAGCAGTGTGTCTGTCACCAGATACCACGCCACAGTCAAAGTCTCTTAAATCATGACTCTTCCTCGTTCTGATGTTTGAACTTCAGCGGGTTGTCTGGACTTTGTCTGCATGGCTAAATCTGCTGGGTTACTGCCACGTGATTGGACAGTTAAATAGGTGTAATGAGCCAAGTGGCCGGCCAGCGTATAAGCTACATTTAACTCTTTTCACACAAGATGCAAAATGAAGTAAATGTTGGAGTTGTGTCAGATGATAATGAATCTTAATAATAACTTTAATGAAAAATGAAAATAATTGTTGTTTTTCATCGTGACCCCCAGCTATCAGAATCATCCTCCTGCACTTCACTCCACTCTATGGACACAAACTCCTCCACAGCCAGCGTCTCCGTGATTCCTACATCTCCCTCCTTCCCCGGGCCTTCCTGTATGCACCGACGCTCCATCTCCCTCACACCCCTGTCTTCCCCGAGTCAGACTCTGGCCTATAACACCCAGGCCCAGGACGCCTGCATCATAAGAGTCAGTCTGGAACACGGCAACGGAAATCTGTACAAGAGCATACTGGTGAATAAGTACTGACGCTTCTGCTAAAGATTTACATTTTCACAGTTTATGTTAAAACTAACTTAATCTAATCTGTCCCACAAACAGCTGACCAATCAGGATAAGACCCCAGCTGTAATCGCTAGAGCAATGGCAAAGCACAACCTGGAGGTGGAGCCGGAGGAAGGATACGAGCTGGTGCAGGTCATCTCGGAGGAGAGAGGTAAAACATCGACTTTAAAATCTTTGGGAACAGTAAGCTAACCGTAAGCTAACATTGCTCGCTAGCAGTAGTTATATAAAAACTCAATTCTTTAAGATTTGCACGTCAGAATTTTAATTTATTTTTTCCACTAATTAGCTGTTTTCAGGCTTTGTGAACCACACTGCCCTCTGTACTGGTGTGAAGATGGTATCACTGGTTGTAAAATTTACCCGGTTCTTATCCTGCTCTTAATTTCTTTCAGAACTGGTGATTCCAGACAACGCTAACGTTTTTTACGCCATGAACACGTCGGCAAACTTTGACTTCCTGCTGCGGGTGAGGGGCTCGGCAGGCCGGCCCGTGCAGCTGCGTAGCCGATGTAGTTCCACGCTCCCGCGGACCCAGCACCGCTCGAGCCTCTCGCTTAGACTCAGCAAAGTCACGTTGTGACCCTGCCGTGTCACCACTAACCCAGGGCGAGACACGACGGAGGGTGGACATATAATTGGATGAGGAGCTCTCTGGGATCCAGGGTGGAACCCTCCGAGCTTTCAGACTTTCCCTCTCATCCCGAACTGTGCCATTCCTCGCCCAGCCTTAACGTGAACCTTGGATGTGGATTAAACTGCTAATGCCTGTGACAGAGTGAAACAGTGACCCCAAGTGGCCTGAACTCTTTACTACAACAGATATTTTTTGCACATGTATTGGGAGCACCAACCTCCTGACCTCCAACAGTATTCTGATATTGAATGAACTCCTTTATGTCTTGTGACGTACATGTAGCTCAAGCTTTACCTTTCTCCTAATACAAGAGTGCTGAATGCAGAGACAGAAGATGGAGCAGTGAAAGAATGAATGAATGGACCTCTAACAGTATTCTGAATGATATTAATAATTGACAGAAGCTGTGATGCCTTTGGTTTCCCTTGTCAGACAGCTACGTGTGTGTGTGTGTGTGTGTGTGTGTGTGTGTGTGTGTGTGTGTGTGTGTGTGTGTGTGTGTGTGT